GTTTTTTTAAAAACTTTTATTATATTATTGAATTTTAATAAACGCGTTTGTACATTATATGTATGTTATATATTCACGATATTTATAGGTAGGCAATGCCTTTTCGCCTATATGGACTGCACGCCACTGCTAGCAATTATATCACATGGGACCTTCATGTAGCCACGAATACATGGACCGTAACATAACATGCAGTTATAACTAGTAATATTATATGGTATAATAAAAATTTTATTTTTGTTATTTTATTGTTGTAATGGTTTGTAATTTAAGTGGGTTTTGTACCTAATACCTAATTGTGGGTGAAAACTCGAGTACGGAGAAGTATTTTTAAATAATAAAGAAGTCAATTTTATCTGGTTTCAGTCGTTCTAGGCTATTCTCACGCCAAAAGTGATTTTTTTAAAGAGATTTAATTCGGACTTATGTTAGTCACAGACATCTGATAGTCACAGAAATTGCTATGTTTGGAACATCGATTTAATGTTTTCAAATAACTCTTTTGCTTGTTCATAATTATGTAGAAGGTTTTACATGTACATATACCTACATACACTCGAATACTGAAAGACTACTAAATTTTAAATAGTGTTTTTAAAATATCGCGTCATATTACAAAGAAATTGTAGTGACGGAACTATATTTGAGTTACGTTTGAGTATTTCGACATCGTGCGATTTTACTTACACGGTCCATTCTGAACCGGTCATTATTATTATGATCATAATCTTTGAAACATGTAACAAAAATTATGCTGGTTTTTCTATCATGGGAAAGAGATGTGACGCATATAAAAAAGTTTAATTCAGTTCAGGTTTTATACCGGTGCCTAACCAAGTGAACCGTTTTAGAATATTTGTGTAAATCTTAGTATATAGATCTAACAAAAGATATTTTGTGTGATTATAGAAATATATTTATTCCTTGTATGTCTATTAATGGACTTAAATGCGGTCTGTAAATTAAGTGACACGTGAGTTTATTTATGACATAACCTATCAACTCATCAAGTATAATTGTGTCTAGTTTAATAAATAGCTTAATAACGATCATATCGGCTAAGCTAACTGTCAACTGTATTTATTATGTCACGTGGCATAGTAATATCACTCTAATTTAGACAGCCATTAGGTATATTTTTGTAATCGTTAGCCTTAAGACAGGCGCCATCTTGATATGAAGAGTTATTTATAACTTACGTAGACGTAGAATAAAAAATAAAATTAATTAGAAATCTTGGTCCTTGCGTCCTAAAACGAACACCAATACTTAGTTTTTATGTCCTATAATTAAGAGAGAACAGTATTATTAATATCATTAATCTTACTCACCAACTTGCTTGTCAAGTCTAGAGGTTATAGCAACATTTATTTTTAAGGGGTACGAGCCCTTGTTCAGTAGTATATACCTTCCAGTTGGTGATGATAATATTCAAAAACAAATTATCATATCATTATGTCGTAAAAACTTTGTTCAAATGTACTTGGTCAAACCAAAACAAACACGATATTGTTATGTATGTTAATGTTAATGAATAAAACCATTAATATGCGGTCAACACACGGGGAGGTAGGATCGAACCACCTGCGCATAGTGATGACCGTTTAATTGCATACGTTGTCAATATACTAATTATTTTACCTTAGATAAACATATTAAGTGCCTCCTACAGACAGACGGCGATTAACGTTAATGATTTAATTAACAACAGCGGTCACAAAGTTGAAATTAGAGGTGACATTAAAGTCATCTGAGTTTGTCATGATGAACTTTGCCCAATTTTGCATGAGGAAAGAACCTAATAACTTGTACTAAATAGGTGTAGCAAGGCATAAAACTGGACACGATGTCCAAAATACAGTAATGTAATTAAGGAATGCTGAATTCCTTGACCAAGGAGATCTTTTGGAGATCCAACTGACGAAATAACATTGGCAGTAGTACAACCTCCACGAAGTTCAAGGATTTTAGTCTAGTTAAGACGTGTGTCATCTTTAAGGGTACGTATGATGCCAAAGATAAGGTACAAGTGCACCGTCATCACGGTTAAACGTCCCAAACGGTACAAAATTTTGAACCGCTTGAATAATGCACTGTCTCTAGGTTATCAACCTCAAAAGTCGTCAATAAGCCAAACTTTCAAATCACCCGCATTAGTAAAACCTCTTCGATCTTGGGTAATAATAAAGACAAATACTTCGTAACCATGCATTATCATTAAGACGCTTACAAAACACAATATTGACCTTATTTCCAATTGAGCGTAGAGTGTTACTAGCACGATGTCATACATCTGGTTGAAATATGGCACGTAGCACCTGATGATAATGTTTTACAAATCTGACTCATAGAGGTGATTTAACAAAGTGCGAGATACACCTGCGCACACCTCACAATACACTAATCAAGTTTTAAACTTGTACAATGACACTAATGGTAGAAGGTGAGAAGGACCAAATTGTATTAAATTCTTTGGTCCTTTGAGTCGAAGCCTTTGAATTAAATATTAATGCTAATATATTGATATTCCTACTTGATTACAGTCTGTTGATATTTCAAATGACCTTCTGTATAATTTTAACTAAAATATGTTAAAATAGTCATATAATAAAGAAATCCTAAAGGACCAAGTTAACTTAAAGTTTTTGGTCCTACGACTCAAAGGCTTTTATTCGTATTAGTATTGGTGTACCTATCCACAAGTAGTTTGTTGACTGCTAATATGACCTTGTGTATAATCTACACTTGTTATAACAATCATGGATTATACGCAATTAAGTTCTACGCTTAGTTCAGTCAATGAGGTACTGAGTTGTTAAGTTGTGACGTGGCACTGGCGGCTAGTAAACAGTCATCTGCAGTCCACGTATCAATGACAATACTTATATTTTATGAACAACACAGCAAGCTAGCTTAATCTGTGAATAATCTTTAATTGATTTACAAGCTTAAATGTTTAGTGATAAAGTTGAAATTCTACTGAGTATTTTTGAACGTTGGAGGTAACTTTGATGTGTGCATCCGTGCGTGTTATGCATCTTTAACCTGCATTCTTAATTGAATTTGATACAGGTCTCAAAATTTTTTAACCATTTGACTAACGGTTACAAAATGAAACTTTTTCTTGAAATGAGAGCACCAATAGTTGATTCTAGAATACGATAATCACTCACACAAAGTGAAACAATAAGGTTAGCTTTTGGGCTAGAAAGGCTAAATGATAATCTGTCTAGAGACCCTCTAATTTTAGTTGACTTTGGAAAGGGAAGATTCTAATCTAATAGTTTCCCTACATAGTGACAATATTTAATAATAACATGATAGTGGTTCAAAAGCCCCATTAATCATTCGCCTATTATATTATTTATTACAATAGAAAATATCACATGCCTTTATTTATTACGTCACTATGACGTCGAACTGTGTTAATTGTCGCCTATTTTTGTTATTTTCCGCAACTTGGACACAACAAGACACCTGAACAAATTGTCTTTTGTGGGCTAATATAAAAAAAAAACTATAATAATTTACATAAACGCGTCCACTTGCAGATAATTCAGATATTATGTGAATAACTTGGTAATAAAAAAAAACTGAGAATAAATATTTTTTTTATTAAAATTAAAATCCATTTTAATTTTTTACAGAATTATCCTTCACCTTTCTGTCTTTTCTTAGGCCAATATAAATACATTTTCAACCAAAATTACCTGTCCAGTCTCTTAACTAGAACTTGACAAGTCTGATGTTCGTCTCCAATTTTCTCTCTATACGATTGTCCATTGTAAGAGTAATCATCATACCGGACTTCCAGAACCTTTTCGTAACCAAACTTAACTCCCATTCTTTGAGAATACTTAGAAGTAGTAAGAGCTACTAAAATATTAGGCACAGCTTCAAAATTAGTAATGTCTTCATTATCAGACAGTCTAGTTTTCACATTTTCACCTTTGTACAATTTCTTCCCCATTTGGTAAGTACACAGACCAAGTAGACTGCCAATATTTTTGTGCTTGAAATCTGGCAACGTCGAAAGATACATCACTTCGATGAAACAGTTAGTGTTGTACCGCTTGTGTATATTGGCTTTCATTTCCAAATCTATACTGAAGTCGACAAATGCTCTTACAGATTTGTACTTACAATTCTGTCTTAGCTTTTCATAGTAATTTTCTTGTTTTGACGTTGTTACCTATATAGAAACGTTGATTATTATTATCATGTTCATCATGGACATGTTAAGATTCCGCTTGAATAGTATAAAAACTTACCTGTATTCTGTTGAATATGACCCCTATTATTTGATTGGTGCTCGTGTCATTGGCTACTAATGTCACGCCGTCCTTTGCAGCATCATAACACGTCTGCATTAGTTCTTCTGCAGCCCCAGGTTCTTCCAACAGACCAACTGCTTTGCATACAGGTTCAGTTTTGAAAAAAAAATCTCGGATTACTTTTAGCGCTCCTTCCATCGTTTCTCTTGTTAGAGATTCTATCTTCACTGCTCCATCTTCTGCCCATTGTCTTTTGCAATGCAATTTTCTGTATGCACTGTAAGTTAATAAATGTTACAATTAAGAATTTGTATTATTGCTATTATTTTGATTTGGGCATTGTCGTACAATGACAGCAAATGGCATAACTCTTACTTTTACAATCACTGTTTATATGTTATGTACGTAATTTTTATTTAATTTTTTACCTTAAAAATCTAAGGATCATTTTATACAATTTTACAAAATACTGCCCCAACTCCCAGCCACGAAACAAATGAACGATTTGTTGGAAAATTTTATATAATAAATATGATTCTCACATAAATCTTCCAGATAACAATACATCTGTCCGAAAATACCTGTTGTTTGTTGAAACAATGTAAAGTAATTAAAAAAAAGCGTCCAATGACGTCTCAAAGAAACAATAACTGAAATATCTTTATTTACTAAGAGTTTTTTATCCACATGGATATTATGTCAAATAATTCGATTATTTTTGGTTATTCAAACCGTCATATTTGACTATGAGAATCACATTTTAACTATTTACAGTGGATATATCAATTAATTTCAACTCCGATATTTCAATTAATAAAACTCTTTGTTAATAGTGTCTGAAATATCGAAACTGTTCATAGAAAGCTGAAACTTTAAAGATGCTATAATTTTATTCTACTGCTATCTAAATATTTTCCTTTTATCTGAATCCTTGAAACTACGAAATTAAGAATAATGATTATAGGTATAGTCCGTAATAAAGCAATTGCATGTCTGCATGTACAAAGTGCATAATATAACTATGTAATTTTAACGTTTATGAAAATTTTGGCTTTTTTTAACTGACAAAGCAGGTTTCGGATGACATTGGTAGAAGTATTTAGTTTGTTGATACCTTCTATTTTGATAATCATCTACTCTATATGTTTGTGGTTCGAGAAAGTGGCGCCTATGCAGCCCACGGCGTTTTGACGGTGAAATCTATTGACGTATAATATCTTGTGGTGTCACTACATTAGCTATAGGGCTGTCCCTTTTGAATTTTGTTTTGTTGATTAATTATATAAAAAGTAGTTTTAAAGAAATATCTTATGTATGATATCATAGCAATAAGCTTACCTACTATTACTAATGGAACTTAAATAACTGGGGAAAGTGGACATTAACTGAAAATTACTGTTTACTCACGCCAACATACTGAGAAAAGCTCTACTAGTTTCGAGTCTCAGAGGGATTCTTCGTCATGAACGATAAGCGGCGATGTCGCGCAGCCTACTGACATCGCCACTACCGTGCACGCTGCAGTTAATTCAGTGTCTCACGATAGTTGTTACAAAAGTGGACATTGCATTTAATTAAATTTTAAATTTCTGCTTATTTTATGCTTATTCTCTGGTTGCACGCCCCTATACCAACTGCCATTTTTTACCCATCTATTATTCTGAGTGGTTCTATAAATAAAAAGTAAACTTACAAGGTTTTTATGCCACTGCGTAGAACTACCTGTTTGCTGCTTATGTGAATTTGATAGACCACTCGTAGGCCAACGACTTGGTTACGCAAGTGAAAATTGATAAAAACCGGCAATATATTGGCAATTTTAACGTCTTCTAACAACTAAATGTTGTTGTATGGGTTCCTATAAGGTTTTGTAACCATATTAGGTGATTATATCACCTTTGTTTTCGCTTAGGTGTTATAGAAGAAGCCAATATCTGTGTTGTCGAATTATAAACAAGTTACATGGTGTGGCGATGCATGACAGAAGACAGAGAATGACATGAATGATCGACGAGCAAATCAACATGTCCATACAAATCCTACATCGCACACGTAAAGTTTTGCAATCCAAATGAACAACTGTTGAACAGTAAGCCCGCCAGTTCGGAGGATCCTCCTTTTCTGATCTTAGGGAACTTCACTCACTATTCCCTAAACATGGTGAATCTATAATGATATCATGACTCATTCGGCAGGACAATACCGAATTTTCTTTTTATATTTCTATTCCAAGTAAATTTTGGAAATGTAGGAAAATCCTATAAGGAAAGTTATACATTAAAAAATATACGTATTAAACTTTAATACATTGCTCACGTTTTTGCTATAAATTCTATACAGTCGTGTAGTATCAATTTGGGAAATACATGGAAAACATTATTTATATTGCCTACGTAAACATTAACACAAATATTTTTATTACGGTCCTATTTTTAGTAGTTAAGTAAGCGGTACTTCTTTTTTATGAACCCATAGAAACATATTAAAATCTAACCCAACAGCACTTAAAGTTTTGACTGTCAATAAAAACTGTTGAAGGCAAATCCTTCGTTAACTTCGGTCACCGGTCACCCATGACGTACAACGTGTTAGGAAAAAATATTATTATATCTGTTGATATTATCAATACGATTAATAAAAGAGATCAAGAAATGAACTTGATTGACAGGGTACCAATGAGGTCGGATATCAATAACCTCAGAGTGACAGACAGGCTGACAAAAGGAACTAAACTGAAGGAACAATTGCTAATGATCGTGTTAACACTTCCTAGAAGTGATTTTCCTATAACTAGGCTATTATTAATAACATGGGTATTGATAAGATAGTTTCTATGTAAATGAATCTAGTAGGCTGTGAAGTAAGATTATATCGTTGTGTGTATCGAAGGACCAAATTATTTTTTAATGTACAAATATTTTGGTCCTTTGTCACTTGTCAGTTTTATGAAGGTGGTTAAGGTATAATTTTGTGTGCGACTGGTTTTGGACAGACAATAAAATATTTTCAGGAAATATTCTTATAAAAATATTGATTTATATGGATGGATTATAAAAGAAGAATGAATATCAGTGTTAATTTCATTTCATATTATATCATTTTTCCAACTTCACCTTAACTGCCTTGATTACGCAAAAAATCACTGTATAATGTGTAGGTTAGCGTTTATTACATTATCATTATTGAATATGTATCAATAAAAATTTCCGCTTAATGCGCAAACGCAGCCCGCGTCACGTATCCTCTGAACTTGACCGACTTTATAAATCCATTTCTGTATGCAACCTTTAAAATTTACTCGTTTACCTACCGCAGGATTTTAATCAATGCTAATTAATTAATTGGCCATCTCTTTAATATTAATTTCTACACAAAAAGTAGTTGCATCGTAGAATATTCCTAATCCCATTACTACCAAATACGTCATAAACGGCTAGCTTGTAAAATATTACTCTCTAAATATGTATTATCTTTGTTTTATCTAACGAAGATTATGAGATCTTGATCCTCGACTCTCAGTCTTTACTACACACACATCTCATAATTAACTCGGTCAATTGTTGCACTGAACAAGTTTCGTCACGACCATGATAACAATCTCCTCTTTGACCCGAAAACTTCGCTCTAGGGAGCCTTTGCACCAGTGAACAAATTGAAAGGACCTTGACAGGCCATACAGTGCGGTCAACAAAGCAACTCATATAAAATGGCGCAACCGCAATATTCCTCGCTGCAACTTGCGCAAAGCCTCGCAAATTGGTTTCGTCAGTGCATCTCCCACAATCATGTGTACTGTTTTACTCTATTTTTGCAATAATTTCGTATTTTTTAGCGGTTTAAAAGGTCATTTTGGTGTAACTAGAGGTGATTTTAATTGAAACTCTCCTTACTCCTTATGCCTCACTTTATCATAGCTGGGTCAGTAGTCTAATTAATAGTCTAGCATGTTATAGAAGTATTTTCATGTCTATTTGTAAAATAGACTTGACTGCAAGTAATCGACTTGACTGAACATCGACAGAGTATCCATAATACCTAGTTGTAACTAAACTCAGCAAGATTAGTTTTAACTTTAAGATATCTTCTGTCACAGCTGTAAGTGCTGTAACTGGAACTCAAACATTATAAAACTAGCTTTACGATATTTATTCAGCAGTTAGATTACCTTATCTTGTAAACTTTATTTTGGAACATTCCTTTGGGATTTCCTTTTTCAGGTTGTTTTGATCTTCATCAGAGACTAGTATTGCACTGCAGTTTCGTCTACGTACTTAGATACCTACTTGTAATGACTAACGACTAACTACTTGAAATACAAATCAATTTTTTGCGTAGAACAATGTCTGATATATCATGACATGGCAGTAATTGGACAATCAGGATGTCCAGAGTCTAGACAATTAATGATTGAATTTCATCATATTTTGTCAGATGATATGCATGATTGCCAAAGAGCTTGAGCTAAGGAACTTATAGATTATTTGCAATAAATGCTTTGTCTTTCAATTCTCCAGTTTTATCCAGTTACAGAGGTATCCTCAATCCTTAAGGCTATCAAAATACTATTTACTCCGGACACTGACTCAGATAAGCTGTGCCGTTGACCGCAAAACAGAACCATCATATCAGAGGTCTCAAGAAATTACTCTTGTCCCTATTTACATAAAGTTTGCGATAAAATTAATTCAGATTATAACAGTTCAGGAGTCAATCAATACATTATAATATACACTTCTTAAATTAGAATTATAAGACAAGACATGCAATTTCTTGCTCATTTTTTTTCTGCTTTGCAAGGAATTAGGTTTACCCACTGTCGAGTCATAAAAATTCCACAATAATTTATAAATTAGGTTTGTTACACACATCATTATGGCTTTTTATTCAATTCCAATCCGATTGCTTTGTTGTTTGCTAAACAAAAAGTGATTCATCCGAAGCAGCCCTTCCAAGACCTACAACTTAGTCATCCAAGTAGTCAATTGAAGGAAATGATCAATTTGTTTTGCAAGCGGTGAACTCCCGGTCATTTGTGGGGGTTTCATCCTCTCCTTACTTAAATCAGATAAGAATATATGTGTGTAATTCTTGACTAAGTCCAATTGTCTCAGAGATGCGTGAGAAAGAAGATTTGGGAAAGACCGAGTGACAAAAATTAACACACCTTTGTGGGTCGCATTTTATCTTCCACTTAAACAAGATTCTTGTAAACCTTTATCTTGTCGCGGAGAACCTAACGGGTTACCGGGGCTCCGGTTCGACGTGCAGGAGAAGGAACGAGGTGGTTTTTAGTCAGGAAGAGTCTGACACTCCCTCCCGCCTCACCCAGGCGGGAGCAGTCATTCGATGATTTTTCCCCCTTAAAAAAACCTTTATCTTAGTCTAGTAAACCTATATTGTTGTCGCCTTTAAAATCCTAATGCTTTATTTTTCTAATAAGACAACTATCATCAATTTTTCTCG